CCCTCAACTCCGAAACCCTAAACCCTAAACCCCCTAAACCCTCAACTCCGAAACCCTAAACTCCGAAACCCTAAAACCCTAAACCCCGAAACCCTTAAACCCCGAAACCCTCAACCCTTAAACCCCGAAACCCTAAACCCCGAAGAAAAAAAAACCCAAACCTCCGAAACCCCGAAACCTTTGAGCTGCCCCTAAACCCTAAACCCTAAACCCTAAACCCTAAACAGAGGTGCCTCCCGTACGTCCGCGTGTCCATGGGAGCGGTCTCAGAGTGCTCCGAGGCGCCAAGGGCTTTGGGTGCTTGAGGCAACCCTGCGCCGGTTGAGGGTTTATAACTTATTAGGGCCTATAGGGTTTAGGGTTTAGGGTTTAGGGTTCAGGGTTTAGTGTGGAGGGCTTTGGGTGCTTGAGGCAACCCTGCGCCGGTTTAGGGTTCATAACTTATAGGGTTTAGGGTTTAGGGATCAGGGTTTAAGGTTTAGGGTTCAGGGTTTAGTGTGTAGGGCTTTGGGTGCTTGAGGCAACCCTGCGCCGGTTCACGGTCTATAACTTATTAGGGCTTATAGGGTTTAGGGCTTAGAGGGCGTATAGGGCTTGCAGGGTTTAGGGTGTAGGGTTTAGGGTTTAGAGTTAATCCCTGAGCCCTAAAACTCTTTTTAATACCATAGGGCTTCTTGGAGGAGGTTTTGAGCTGTGGGTTTTTGCTTTGGGACTTCGGCTTTTCGAACTCCGTAGGAAAGGCTTCTATTATGCAGTTAGGGTTCAGGGCTATGGGCTGTATTGCTTGAACCGACTTTCTAATCATAAGTCTTCTAGAGTCTTTAGCTGCTAATAGGGTTCTATTAAGGGCGGTATTTTTTGCAGGGTTTTGTACATGATCGCCTCAAGTGACACCCAGTATACACTCACCAATATGCCTGAAGAGACTTGTCTGCACCCACCAAAAGCCCACACGCCAAACCCCGAACCCTGAACCGTCGAGCCCTGTGCCCTGAAGCGTAAACCCGTCCGTTCAATCTATTAGCATGGGTCGCCGCAGGCTCGGCGAGTGAACACTGTTATCTTAAAATTGCAGATTCAGGGTTTGGAGAGCAAGGGTTTAGGGTCCAGGGTTTGGAAATTAAGGTTCGAGAGGTTTTGTTTTAGGGTTTCTGGGTTGCCTATAGTCTCCATTGTAGTTCCGTTTTCTGCTTTAGCCAAGTATATGTTTAGGATCCTATAATAAGGTAACCACCAAAAACGAACTACGATGGAGACTAGGGGGTGGGTTTTGGAATTAGGGCTTACTTGGAGTTTCATGGGACTTAACAAGTACTTGCATAAGTACATAAATTGGGGCTATACGTAATTATACAGCTATCTTGTGTATAACCCTAGTTACTAAGTCCCATGAACCTTTAAGTAGACCCTAAACCCTAAACGCTAAACCCTAACCAATTAAGGTACTCACAACGGCACTTATTAAGTCCCATGAGCCTTCAAGTAGGCTTCAAGTCGGGTCAGGCGAAGCTTAGCCATGCGGTGAACAATGTCGTCTTCGAGAAGCCCTTGGCTATACAGACAACACTGATCAATCGGAAGGCTGCCAAGGGTGTTTCTTCTAAACTGGCTCGATCATATGGGTAGTTCTCTCAATTGGGGTTCCTTTTAGGGTCCTTTTTCGTGAGAGTGCCGTACTATCATGGGAACCTAGGAAAGGCGACCCTACTTTAGAGAACTACCCATAGACTTGCATGGGTTTCGGAGAGTTTTGGCCTGAGTTCCAAACCCTAAACCCTAAACCCTAATGGTAGGCTTTTGGCAGGTCCTTCTAGCATTCTGCGCCTCCACAGCAGGGCTACGAAAGAGTTCAAATGGTTCATCTTTTGGTTTTCTGTTTGGGGTTTAGGGTTTAGGGTGTTCTGTTTAGGGTTTAGGGGTTTAGGGGTTTTGGGTTTCGGGTTTTCTGTTTAGGGTCTAGGGGTTTAGGGTTTGGGGTTTAGGGGTTGAAGCATAAACGCCTGCAAGTTCAAGGGCTTGCTTGTTTAGGCCTGAGTTTGTGGTCGCGTCGACTAATGCTGTGTCCCAGACGGGAAGACAAGCCGAGAGCCAATACTGAATACTTCAGACATAGGGGCGCATCTAACGAAAGTATGGCGGTACCCAGAGAAATGGGTTTGGTATGCGGGGTACCGAAACTCACGAATCTGACCCTGCATCCTCGCAGAAGTTTTCACATTCCTTTGATAGCTGGTCGCTCTCTATTTTCGTTAAATTTCTGTGATATGAACCCGAGCTAGAGCAGATCGACATGAATAGCCTTCATCATGTGGTGATTAACTTCAAAGAGATGCAACAGACGACTTGGGCCACTCGTGGGGTTCACGAAATTTTCATGAGAAGCACGAGAGCCTCATACGGAACTCTGAGTGATAGTAGAGCTCGAATAAAAAGTCAGGACCTTAAACCCTAAACCCTGAACCCTAAACCCTAAACCGCGAGGTGTCCGTAACAACGGGACGCCTTGACAAGCTCATCTAGATGGGTACTGAATAACGGATCCTGACACCTATGGGGACCGCATAACTCGTAAACCGGGAGGGTGCAACCAGATGATGTTGCGAGCCGTCCCCCAGACGCCACCAGTTGGCGGTTGTGGAGATTTGTGGGCAGATCATATCGGCGCATCCATACCGCAGACACCGCCAACGCCTATTAAAGCCCCCACGCGACCGAGGCCTGACATCGATGGGTTTGGAATACGACACTGAGGACGAGAACGAAATCAACATAATGCCGGGTCTTCCCCCTCTTCTACATGAACTAAAGCCATTCGATGAAGTGCAGAAGAAGAAACCTATCAAGGCACATAAAAAGAAGAAGGTCCTTGCACTGCGCCTTTGCTAATATAATCTCTCTCTCTCTCTCTCCCCCTCTTTGTGAAGCTGTGTTCATCAAAAAATAAAATCCGATTAGACCCCCAAACCCGGGGACCCTGAACCCTAAGCCCTGCACCCGTAAACCCCTAAACCCGACTCAGAAAGCCCTAAGTAGGAACTCACGACAGGAGTCTCAGAAAGCCCTAAGTAGGAACTTACTATAGGATCAACGAAACACCAATATCCTTTCCTAGGGTCCCTTGCTCTACTGAGCCTAGAGTACTCCCCCTAGGCCCTGTTCTAGATGTTCATGCCCCTATATCATAGAACCCTTACGGTTTAGGGTTTAGGGGCTAGGGTTTAGGGTTTAGGGAGCCTAAACCCTAAACCCCAAACCCTGACCGGACCTTTAACGAAGCACGCATTCGTCCCAGAAAATTGGAACATGGGTTTAGGAGGATTAGTGCTAGAACTCTTATACTTTACCTCAAGGGCATTCGGGTTATGATGTTCCAACTTTTTGGCTTCTACTATAGGATCCCAGGTAAACCCTAAACCCTACACCATAAACCCTAAATTCTACACCCCTAAACCCTAAGCCCTAAAACCCCTAAGCCCTAAACCCTGAACCCTAAACCCCTAAACCCCTAAACCCTAAAACCCCCTAAACCCCTAAACCCCTAAACCCCTAAACCCCTAAACCCCTAAACCCCCACACCCTACACCCTAAACCCTAAACCCTAAACCCCTACTAACCCCTACACCCCTAACCTTAAAAACCCCAAACGGGACCCTGGGCATGAACAGGCCAAGGTCGAGATTTTGAACAAGTCCACTGGCGGCGTGCCTTGGCGAGCCCAAGAGGGCTTTAGGGTTTAGGGTTTAGGGGTTTAGAGTTTAGGGTTTAGGGTTTTAGGGTATAGGGGTTTGGGGTTTAGGGTTTAATTAGGGTTTAGGGTTTAGAGTTTAGGGTGTAGGGGTTTAGGGTTTAGGGTTAGCCCAAGAGGTCCTACCCAGAGAGCCCAATGGCCTTAATTAAGGAATATACCTTAAAGTATAGGGGCCTTAATATTATGATTTAAGGTATATTCCGTAATTAATGGGTATTGGTCATACTGAAAGGTTCATGGGACTTAGAAACTAGGTTTTAAACATAAGGTAACTATACTTATAGTTACTTATGACCCCATTTGAGGCACTGATAACTGTACTCATTAAGTCACATGAAGCTCCAAGTACCTTATATATCCCTTATATAGTCTCAAAGGGCCCCTATATAACCCCAAGGGTCCCTTTAAGGGTCCCTCCTTTAGTCCCTTGAAACGTACGACTTTCAGTGCTGCAACCCTTAAGCCCCCGACGACCCCAAAACCCTAAAACCTGTACTGCGCAGTAGCCGTCACTAACGGTATTCTCCCCACAGGGTCCTTAGTACCTATGTAGCAGAAACCAGGGACTTCCATGTTAGGAACTACTACCATGATTGAGGGAAGTATTTCAAATATCCGATAAGAGTACACGATTACCTATAGTCTTCATTGAAGTTCCTGTTTTTGGCTAGCCGAAATCATATTATAGGATCCTAACCATAAAATTAGTTAACCAAAAAAGGGACTGCAATGGAGACTATAGGGTTATATAGATGAGCATGCTCTGGAGCTGAGTATGTTCAGCTTCCTGGGACTTGACCTCGGGTGCAGAAAGGGTTTAGGGGTTTTTAGGGGTTTAGGGTTCAGGGTTTAGGGGTTTTAGGGTTTAGGGTTTAGGGAGAAACCCCCCAACCTGTGTCCTCAAGATAGACTCAAGACAGAGATGGTGAATGCAGAGTTGAATGGTTCGTAGACCGAGGCAGATAGACAGTGAAGACAGGTAAGCCAGGAAGACACCCCGTGTCTACAAAGGTAACATATGCATGCGCATATGCACATCTACTCACACATATGCATATATATACATATATATGCATATATATATATATATATATATACATATATATACACACACAGTATACACACACATGCACACATGCCAAGATGTTGGGGCGACTGTTCACCTTCCCAGGTGTTTACAGAGGACAAGGTCATGGGTCAGGGAGTGATCTATGATGTCGATCCGGACAAGGAGCAGCAAGTGATCAGAGCTGTCGGGTAGGGTTACGGCTCAGGGTTTACGGGTCAGCATGTTGGGTTTAAGGTTCAAGTTTTGAGGGTTTAGGGGTTAAGGCTTGAGGGTTTAGGGTTTAGTAGTAATCTGAAAGTTTAATCGTTGATTTCCATGGCTTATGGGGGAAGTAAGAACCCTAAACCCTAAACCCTGAACCCTGAACCCTGAACCCTGAAGTCCTGCACCTGCAAGAGCCTTAAATTCCGGAACCCTGTTTGGGGTTTAGGGTTGAGGTTTAGGGTCTAGGGTCTAGGGTCTAGGGGTTTAGGGTTTAGGGTTTGGAGGCTCCTGGGACGTAACGAGCATGGTTATAAGTACTTTTCGGTTTCATGAACCTGTAAGTCGGCCTCCAACCCTAAACCTGAAACCCTAACCCTAAAGCCTAACTAAACCCTAAACCCTAAAGCCTAAACCTGAAACCCGAAACCTCAAAGCCTAAAGCCTAAACCCTATAAACCCTAAACCCTAAAGCCTCCAACTAAACCCGATTGGCAGTCGGCCCTGATGAGCTCCTTTACCCAGACCCCCGGAAGGATCTAGAAAGTCGAAACCCTAGTTTGGGACGCTATACTAGTAAAGGGCTCTTTATAGGAACCCCCATTAAGGGATCTGCTTTTTGGATGCTCCTGGGGCTCTGGGAAATCGTGAAACTCTAAACCCTAAACCCTGAAGTCCCTAAACCCTAAAACCCTATACCCTAAGCTCTAAACCCTAAACCCTCAAACCCCTAAACCCGTAAACCCTAAGCCCAAAACCCCTAAACCCTAATCCCTAAACCTTGAAGCCCTAAACCCTAAACCCTAAACCCTAAACCCTAAAGCCTAAAGCCTAAAGCCTAAACCCTTATAAACCCTAATCCCTAAACCTTGAAGCCCTGAAGCCTCAAGCTCGAAACCCTTGTGAAGCGCATCTGCCGGCCAGGAGCACGATCGGGTTGACTGGGACCTCCGAAGAAGCTTAACAGGCACACACTCGGTTTTATGAACCGTTTAGGTTTTGAGGGTCTGGTTTAGGGTTTAGGTTTGATCCCGTGATCTGCAGAGGACTGATTATACCTAGGATTCTAGAGGGTTCTAGCATGTACAGGGTTTGTGGGGTGTGCAGATCCTTCCTGCTGCCCCCTAAACCCTAAACCCCTTGAGGGTCCTTCCTGCTGCCCCAGTAAGCTTGCGCTGTCATGGTCGTCGCCTGGGGATTTAAGTTTAGATATGGGGCTTTCTGTGTTTTGGCTTCGTGTTTGTGGTTTAGGGCTTGGGGGTTTTCATTGTGGTTTTACTGCCTCGAGGTTACGGGCAAGCCTAAGCCATTAACAAAAACACACCTGAACCCTTAGAGACCTAAACCATAGACACGTAAGCCTTAAGAGCTTAAAGCCCTAAGGCCCTAAACCTGGGGCTTATGTTTCACGGTATTTACCTTTCACGCAAATGAAAACCGTATTTCCAATGTATCCAGCTCCAACATCTTCCAACAGCTGTCCTGATTAGTCGAACTTAATAAGTTCTCAGTCCTAGCTTGCAGCATTCAGTCTGTCTGTGCCACACGACCAGTGCCAGGTGCTGCACGCTTCAAAAGGATGAAGAAGGCCGTGGCGGACGGTCTTTCTGCCCCGCCCGCCGACCTCAGCTTTCTGAAAAAGTGCAAGCCTGCACAGGAAGGCGTTTCGGACGTGGTCTCCTTCCTTCAGGAGATTTACAACAGCGTGGCAGGAATATGCCAGATGTCTGAGATTCTACAATGGATCCACCCCAAGATCCTTATGCAGCAGCCCTTGGCAACCCTGACAAAGAGCTGGACTGGCCAGCAGACGAACCCGCTGCGGCAACCGATGCCAGAAAGATGCGGCAGCGATTCAGGAGCATGACAGCTTCTGAAAAGACGGCAGAGCAAAGGGTTTAGGGTTTAAACTGGTTGGCCGAAACCCGAAACCCTAAGCCCCGAAAACCATGCTCCAGCGCCCTTTTAAGTCACACCCCGAGCTACTACGCTGAGTTGCTACAGCCAAAACACCAGATCCAAAGAGCTTTCACTCTAAACCCCAAAAACTTACCCTCAAAGAGCCGGCAACGTTAAAGCCCTAACCTTCAAACAACCCCTAAACCCTGGAGGAAATAGCGCTTCGAACTGATTCTCCAGGGCTCCATAAAGAGTAGCCTAGAGTCTGGAGTCTACTGACAAAAACCTGGCCGGATGAAGTAAAGCTTTAAAGCGTCCCAAACCCTAAACCCTAAACCCTAAACCCTAAACCCCTAAACCCCTAAACCCTAAACCCTGAACCCTAAACCCTAAACCCTAAACCCCAAACCCTAAACCCTAAACTTCAGAGCTTCAGAGGCCAGTTCCTCAACGAGATCCGCCGCCTTTCCCTGGGTCCAAAGCTCTTTCGCCGGCCTTGGCTGACGCGAGCTGTGAAAGTGCAGTTCAAAGGCGCCTTGACAATCAATGGCTCAGAGGATCAGGGTTTAGGGTTTAGGGTTTAGGGTTTAGGATTTAGGGTTTAGGGTTTAGGGTTTAGGGCATCTTGTCAATCAATGGCTCAGGGGATCACTCTAAAAGGGCCCGGAGACTTGGCAGAGTTTTTGAGACTTGAAGGTTCTGAGTTTAGGGTTCTACGTTTAGGGTTTAGGGTTTAGGGTTAAGGGTTGAGGGTTTAGGGTTTAGGGTCTACCCTAAGGCTCATGGACCTCCATAGTGAAAGGTCTTCTTTTGGATAATATAGGGGCCTTAATAATTAGAAGAGGGTTTGGGAGTATATTGTACTATAACTATAGTACCCTAAGGCTCATGGACCTCCATAGTGAAAGCCCAAACCTTAGCCCCCAAAGCCCCAAACCTTCCCCTAGAAAGCCCATAACAGCAATAAGAGCCCTTAGGGTAGACATTTGCAGCACATATCTTCGTCCCTGCTGAACTGAGAAGACGGTTTTCATCCATCAAAGAGCGGTTTAGGGTTCAGGGTTTAGGGAACTGTCTAGGTTGTGGTCTAGCTCATGCGGCCAGGCCCTCTTGCTTTCTCCCCATCCGCGAGTCGTAGCTCCACATTTCAGAGCTCAGAAAGGAAGTGGCCCGAAATAGAAGACTCAATAGCAACACCCTCGATATCAGGCAAGTGAGGTATCCTCATTTCAAGACCCCACCCTCCCTAAACCCTGAACCCTAAACCCTAAAGCCTATACCCTAAACCCCATTTCTTGTATGGTCTTCTCAGCTTAGCCTCAAATCGCAGCCGTAGGTCCGCTGGCGTGGTCTAGGGTTTAGGGTTAAGGGTTTAGGGTTTAGGGTCTAGGGTCTAGGATTTAGGGTATAGGGTGTGGGTTTAGGGTCTAGTAAACTGCAGGTGAAGGCGGCGAAGATGCGGGCGGCTTGTACCGCGAGGCCTCTCCGTTGCGCAAGCTCTCTTGAAAGCTTTGAATGTAGAAGCTTAAACAAGTAATTACAATTATAAGCAAATATAAAATACATACATAAATAGATATATGCATATAAAATACATTCCTGAGGATTCTATTGATAATTCTCTTAGCACTATGGATCCCAGAACACGGTTTTGACAGTGAAGGCCCCTAATTCAATGTCCTGCTTCAACCACCTTGGTCCCTAAACCCTAAACCCTAAACCCCAAACCCTAAACCCCAGACCCCAAATCCCAAACCCTAAACCCTAAGCCCAAACCCTAAACCCTAAACCCCAAACCCTAAACCCTAAACCCCAAACCCTAAACCCCTCCTGCTTCAACCACCCATGGCCACGCACTTCTCAGGCACTGGAGGCATGCGTGCGAGAGCTGACTTCCAGGTGACTCGCCGGATTTTTTGAAGCTACCTATAGGCCCCATAGTAGTTCTTTTTTTGGGATTTTGGGATTCCTTGATAGAATCCTAAATATAAGCCACAAGAAGGAACTATTATGGGGCCTATGGGTACAATCTTCTCCTTTCTTCGTGTCATGTTTCCGGGGCCCCTAAACCCTAAACCCCTAAAGCCCGCGGCCCTAAATCCGACGTTAGACTACGACTGCAGGAACTGTGAACGATTCTTTCTTGATCGCTGTTTGCAGTCAAAGGGGTGTTGCGTGTTGAATAGCCTGATGAATTCCTAGTGCTATTATTGACGGTCGTCGTGGTGGTGGCATCTGCAGCATGCTGCAGCAGCAGGTAGTCATGGTAGTAGTGGTACCGGGAGTGGCAATGGTAGTGGTAGCGGCAATGGCCGTCTTCGTCGCAGTCTTTGGCAGTCGTATGGCTTTGGTCCTAGAAGCAGCAGGAACAATTGTAGTAGCACACCCCGAACCCCAAAATCTTCAACTTTAAACAGAAACCCTAACCGTCACTACGGTTGACGATATACATCCTGCATTGCTTGAAGGAACCTAAACTATGGGAATTATGGTATATTCCTTATCATAACTTATGGAATCCGTAGTTACCCAGAACCACAAACCTGAACCCTAAAAGCCCTGACCGAGACAATCCCTTGAGGTCGTTGCCCCTCCTCCTGCCATGCCCAAATGCCGTCGCCGAGGCTGTGGAGCAGTGCATGGCTTTCTGGAGTTTAAGGGTGTTTAAGGGTGTTGGGTTTAGGGTGCTGGGTTTAGGGTATAGGATGCGATTATTGAGTTGGTATCCTTTCAGCTCAGTAATCAGTGCACCCTCGCGTACACATGCCCACGGATTTACATCACACTTGCCAGTTGCTGGACATGCATACATGCCTACATACGCACATACATACGTACGTACATACATACAGTGGTACATATATGTACTGTATGTACATGGACCGATGTTAGCTAGCTAGGTAAATTATCACCTAGCCAACTAGCCAGCTAGGTATCTAGGTAGGTATATAAAAGGAAAGATTTATGGATAGATAGATACATAGATAGATAGATAGATAGATAGATAGATAGATGACATGGTGCATGCGGGCTTTGTAGGTGCATGGGGCTTCAGATGTCCCCAGCACTGCTCTGTTTCCCGTGGCAGTGGACCCCGCAGATGTGGTTTTGGTGAAGAACGAAGAAGGTTCAAGTTATAATTTGCAATAGTGCACACATGCCATATAGCTGTAGAATCTGCAAGCTGTTGCCAATTTTTGTGATCGCCATTTGACATTGTACCAGAGAACACCCAGCACAGCCCATGCCTTTTGAAGGGTCCCCCCCAGACCCGACAACGACTTCGGGAAGGCTTCATCGGAGAGGCTCCAGTACGGTTGATGACGTAAACCCTACATGACCCATAATGAGGACTATATCATAATTCCCATAGTTTAGGGTCCTTAGCGTAATGCTGGATTAATATCATCAACAGTAGCGACAAAGGAGACAAACCCTAAACCCTAAACCCTAAACCAAAGCGTCGGGAAGATGAGCCCTGAACAGCCGAATCCCGAAGACTAATAGAAGCCGCACCTGCCATGGCCTAATTTATAAATGGTGTAGGGGCCCCTACATAAGAATAGGGTTCCTTTAAAGGGTTCCTTAAAGGGGATACTATAAGGGATATATAAATGGGAGTTTCCAAGAACAAGGGGTACCTTATTTTGGGGTCCTTATAACAAGGATCCTATTATTTAGGGTACTATATTAGGGTCCCCTATTTTCGGAAACCCCCAAATATGAGGGCCTAAATCATTACCAATACTATTCTTGGGGGCTCCTTGTTAGATTTATAGTATCATAGTCCCCAAAACCCTATTCTAACTATTAAGGCCCCTATATGATCCGAACACCCTAAACCATGAACAGCTAAACCTTAGAACCCCGACCCTGATCACCCCAAACCCCTGCACCATTACACAATATGGGCGGTTTAGGGTTTAGGTTTTTAAGGTTTAAGTTTAGGGTTTAGGGTTTAGGGGGCTTAAATAATTACCAATACTATTCTTGGGCGGTTCCTTCTTATGTTGTAATGGGCCCCGAAACCTTATTCTAATTATCAAGGCCCCTACATTACGCAGAAAGGTTGGCGAAAATCGAGACTGTTGGATCCTCAACCCCAGCGCAACGTCGTCGACGGCCCTTGCGGGGCTGGTATCCTGTCCGACAGGTTTTTGGGAAGTTTGGAAGGTCCCTAATCCTTAAGGGGTTTAGGGTTTAGGGTGTAGCGTTTAGGGAAGTCCGACCGGTTTTTGCAAGTTCGGAAGGGCCCTACCTAAACCCCCAAAAGTAAGTAGAATAATGGCCCAACACCTATAAAAGGCTATTCTTCTACATACTTTTGGGGTCTAGATAAACCTTAAGCCCTGTATCTGAAAAATCCTAAAACCCTAAACCCCGAAAGATCTTCCCGCAGAACCCTGGACCTCTAAACCAAGAACGCCCTTAAATCGTCGAAGCCTAACCCTCTACTCCCCAGTTCCCAGGGCTGGCGGGAATATAGGCTTTGGGTTTACGAACTTTGGGGTGTCTGTGTTGGGATTTTGGGTTTCGGTTGCTTGGAGCGTTCAGTGTAGGGGACTTGGAAAGCGTCATGCAACGCGGGCTTCCAGTATTCTACCACAGTACTAGGGCATATCCAGCAAGCATACAACTCTAGATAGAGCTGATGTAGATACGATCTCTACGCCCCCCTTTTTCCCTGAAAAGGAATCATGCCCAAAGGGTCCAAGTAGCAATATGGTAGCTACTTTGTAGGGTTTTGGGCCCCCAAAGAAAAACTATACTATAACTTGGGCCCTATACCCTAAACCCTAAACCCTAAACCCTTTGGGATGTAAGCTAAAGCCTCAAACCCTAAACCCCCCAAATCTCCATAAAGAACCCAACGTCTCCCCATACAACCCTGAACCCCTAGACGCCCTAAACCCTAAACCCTAAAGTTAAACACTACGGAAAATGGTGCTCAACAAAAAAACACTGAACCCCTAAAAGCCTACGACACCAAAATCTCGAAGATGTCTGAGGAGTTTATGGGCCAGCTGATGGGAGGCTCAGCTCAAATCATGTGGCCCCTGATGCGGTTTAGGTATTTAGGGTGCGTGCGTGCACCGGTTTCATTTTGTGTGTTTAAGCGCGCTTTTCAGCTTTCGTTTAAGGGCTCGCGTGTTTCAGGGCTTTGGTTGGGCTTATCGGGTGTTTACAAGGGTCTATGACAGGAGCCTATATGGTTAGAGTCGGGTTTGCAGAGTTCTTACTAATGTAGGAGCCTAAACCAATACTATTTCTGGGGCTCTTTATGATAATCATACTATAGTGGGTGCCAAAACCTTATTCTAATTATTAAGGCCCCTATATTATATTTAATTCAGATCTCTATATGTCTGTTGATGGAGGGAACAAGGCCGACCGTATGACTTCAACATGTGTTGTCGGACCACTTCTACAAACAGCCCGAATTTCGGGATTCCCTGATTGTCAACCCTAATGAGCGAAGCGATTATTGGTTTTTATGGAGTCCCTATAGGCCTTTTAAAGAGCCTTGCCAGACCCTTCAGAATTTTACTTGAACGCTAGTAGAACCCTGAGAGACCCCCTACAGAATTTTCATGGATCTCGAAACGAAGAGTCATGTTTCCCTAGAGCCCGAAGCAGAATAGAGCCCAAATACATGGAGCCCCAAAAGACTCCAATCTCAGGATTGGCATTGCGGACAGGCAGACAGCCGCTGATTGCTTGCGATTGTTTCGGTTTTAGGTCGCTAGTATTAGACTCGGATATCGAAGCCTAAATAGTACCTGCCGATATTATTTCTCAGGGTTCCTTATTTACCACAAAGGAGCCCAGAACCCTAATTCTAATTATTCAGGCCCTTACATTACCACGAAATCCTGGTTGTTTCCTCAGCACTGCTCGCCTGCGGTCGTTTGGGGCTTGCGCAACTTGGCCCAAGAACCAAGAACTCTCCGACCCAGGGAGTGGTACTATAGACACCTTGCCATGCAAGTGGGAATAGGACTTTGGGGTAGTTCATGTCGAGGAGGCCTCATGACGAATAATGTTAGTAATTATTCAACCTTCTATATGACTGAATGTGCTTGCGGTGCTCAAAACTCGGGTTTTTCGATACGTCCCAGGAGACACATATAGGATTGCGAGGGTAAGAGACGGGCCGCGCGTATTGGCAGCCTTCTGCCTTTGTTGTTTGTGTCTTTGTTTGGGTTTTGTTTTGCTTTGTTTGTTTGTTTGGGTGTTTGTCCTGCGAGTTATTTCTGTACTGTTCTTGCTTTGGTTGCTGCTGAGGATGGTGTTTGTCAAAGAACGGTTCCGGAGTACAGTATTTCACCTTGGGCTCCATTCAGCTCTTCTGCACGTGTACAGAAGGGTTGTGTGGCAGTTTCTATGAAGTTTGTATGATTTGGGGACACCTCGCATTCCCTATACAACCCTTTCTGCGTCGGATCTTCTGGGTTCAATTTGGGGTTTAGGGTTTACCGTACCCCCAAACCCTACAAAATAAGATAGTAGGTTATGACCCCTTATATTTATATGTATAAGGTCTAACCCCTGCAACACTGGGTTTCTGGATCTGCAGGTTTGGTCAGGGCCTGGGGTTTTGGGGTTAGGATTTAGGGTTTACGGTCCCAATGCCCAGCCATCAGCCCTCATTCCGTTATCCCAGATGCTACACCCAAGATGTTAGCCTTGACAAACTGCGATGAACGTACACCCTACGCCACAGGATTCATAGATCCCGGTGGTGATTGTTGATGCTAATACTGAAAGCACTCCGAAACAGATAGATAAATCGATATTGGTTTGGTGCCCTTCAAAAGCCTTGACATATGAGTCCTTAATTAGAGCCTGAATCAAGGTTATCGATGGTAGCCCGCCTACACCCTAAACTAGGTTATCTATGGTAGCCCGAACCCTAAACCCTAAACCCTGTTATCTATGGTAACCCGAACCCTAAACCCTAAACC